GAGGAGGAGGAGGAGGAGAGAAGAAGTAGACGGCGAAAGGAGGAGGAGAAGGAGGAGGAACTGGGAAGGAGATAGGAAGGAGACGACGAAAGGAGGAGGAGGAGGAGGAGGAGAGAAGAAGAAGACGGCAAGGAGAAAATAAAGAATAAGAACAAGATGACGAAAGGAGGAGGAGGAGGTGGAGGAGAGAAGAAGAAGAAGGTGATGAAAGAATGAGGAGGAGAAGATGTCGAGGACAAGGAGGATAATAAGACATAAGTGGAGAAGAAGATGTTGAGGACAAGGAATGAAAAAGTTGACGAGGTGGAAGAGTAGAAGAAGAAGAAAAAGAATATTGAAAAAAAAAAAAAAGGCGCGCGTGCTGACGTGGCAGCCGCTCAACGACGATGAAGATGACGGGGAGGAGGAGGTGGCAGCCGCTCGACAGGAGAAGAAGAAAGGTCACGAAAGAAGGAGGAAGGAAGATGGCGAGGAGGATAGGAAGATGGCCATCACGTGAAGAAGAAGAAGATATCGAGGAGGAGAAGAAGAAGAAGAAGAAGAAGAAGAAGAAGAAGAGCGTGTGCTGGTGTTGCAGTTGCGCGACGACGACGGAGATGACGGGGAGCTGTGTGTCCAAATTTGGATTTAATGCGGGTTTTGCGTTGAAAAATTCAACGTGCGTTAAATTCGCATTCAATCCTCGTTTGAACGCGCGTTGGACGCGAATGAACGGGGTCCGCGAAACCCAATTTCGCCTGTTTTGTGGGGGCTTGCGCTGATTCTGAGGGCCTAGGGTGGTGCAGTGGGCTGTTGGGTACCACCTCAAGCGATCAGGATTTTTTTTTTTTTTTAATAGAAAAAAAAAACGAGGCCGCTGCGTTTTCAGGTTGTCAGGGTTCAGAGGGCGGCTGGGTGGACAGCTACAAGAACGGTCGTTTCACTCGGCCTCACTTTCATTCGCCGCGAGAGCCCATAGGCTTCAACGCGCAGAAAGCATCCCAATGACGCGTCCAGTGCACGTGCGGCAATTGCAGAGAGAGAGAGAGAGAGAGAGAGAGAGAGAGAGAGAGAGAGAGAGAGAGAGA